AAAATTAGGCCATTTAAAAAAACCAAGTTAGAGTTTCAGAGGCCCATTTTGGGCCTTTTAAAGAGTAATCCCCCAGAGTTTTTCCTGTTCTTTGTTCTTTTTCACCATAAATCTTAGGACCAAATGTCTGATTCTAATTTTTAAGTGCTGTTTGTCAGTCTTTTCATTGCTGATTTCTCCAACATTCTTAGAATAAGAACACTGGTTTCCTAGAAAAGTTGCAGCAATTACACATGACTTGGACGTAAACACTATTTTCAAGTCATAAGATGGTATGAACCTGAAAAATTTGTAAAACTATACTAATTCCTCAGTAAGTTTACATTTCAATTACTGCAAGACTGAAAGTCTTTAGGCCGTATCAGCCGCACTACACAGGAAATTATATCCTAGGAAGGCTCTGTTTTAAAAATAGCCAAAGGAAGAAAGGAAAATTGCCAAAATACACAGCTCTTCCCATTTGTTTTGATTTGAACACTGCATGTTTTATCAGGCGCAATCTACCAGTTGCAGGCTTACGGGGAACTGTAGTATAGTAGTTAGAGTGGGAAGAAGTAAATTAACCGATGCTGTTTGCTTTTAGAAAATAGTTTTGAAGTAGGTATCTGCAGAATTAGGTCATAACCAAATACAATTCAAATTTAACATTTGTATGTTTTTTTTAACATTTTTGACATATATGTAAAAGTCATCATTTTTCTTTTACCCATCTATCCATCCATTCAAAAAATACTGAGTAACTATCATGTACTTTTTTATTTGTTTGTGTCGCACTTCCCAGGCAGGCGCTTACACTGCTGAGCTAAATCTCCAGCCCTCATGTATTTTTTTAGATATGAGAATTTAACAATTAATGCAACAAAATCCTTCCCTATGGATCTTATCCTGGTAGGAGAGATAAGTGTATACTATGTACATAAGAAATGTAACAGCAAGTAGTATAAAGATTAAAAATATAGCAGAGCAACTCTAAGACAATTAACTTTACCAAGAAATTACCAAAACAAAACCAATTTGGATATAATTACTAGATTGGAAATTTGGTGAGGACACAGTTCTGATGAAACTGATAGACTATAGAGTTTAACTGGATAGCTAAAGTTTTTGTTTTTTCCTCTAGTATGGATTGAATCCAGGGTCTTGCATATGGGTAGGCAAGCACTCTACCACTGAGCTGCATCTCTAGTCCTTTTTTAAATTTTAGTTTGAGACAGAGTGTTGCTAAATTCCCCAGAATGGCCTTTTATGAATGAATTTATGATTCTCCCGATTCAGCCTCCCAAGTGGTTGGGATTATGGACATGTACACCGTGGTTGGCAAGACTCACTCGGCTTCTTTTGACAGGTGAGTTTAAAAAAATATATATAAATTTTTATCAGCCACATTGGATTGAAAATACTTAAATATCCATCAAAACTTTACAGAACTTTCAAAAACTTCTTTTCAGTCTGTTTGATGGCTTATGGGTCTTGACTAGTATTGAGGAAGCTGCCTCATTTCCTTTGCTGGAAAATATCCATATTGTTGTGGCCCCTGAAAGTCTATGTTTGAATTAATCACAAGCACATTCACTGACAGTCTGTGAATGCTGTCTCAACATTTTTGTGAAGCTGGCATCCTCACTTATGTTACTAAAGGCAGCATGGTAAAATAAGAAGAATAAAACATTAGACATAGATCTCTGATCTTGCCTTTATGATTCACCCACACACTTTTGGGCAGATTTATTCACTTCTCCCGAGTTTGTAATATTGGAATATTTTCCTGGCCTATTGGATAGGGTTATTGGGATGCAAATAATGCCTTCCTCCCTTGTTTTAATCCCTGGGAACTATTAGTATTTTAGTTTACAAGGTAAAGGCAAAAAAAGGTGGCAGATGGAATTAAGACTGCTAATCAGACACCCTTAAAACAGGGTGGTTATCTTAGATTAATCAAATGGGCCTGATGTGATCACAGAGGTACTTGGGAGAGGAGAAGGGAAAGAACCAGAGAGCCAAGAGTACAAAAGGTCTCAGTGCAAAGCTGTTGGCTTTGAAGATGAAGGAACACAGACATGAGCCAAGGAATGTGGGTAGTAGGTAGAAGCCAGAAAAGGAAAGGAGACAGATTTTCTCCTTTCCTTTCTCCTTTCTAAAAGAAATTCAGTCCTGTAATCTCATTTTAGACTTTTGACCTCTGGAACTATACAGGAACACGTTTATTCATTTTAGGCATAAGAGTGTGGCAGACTGTTATAGCAGTAATAGGAAAAAATATGCAAAAGTACTTTGAAATTAGTGGGAAATTTTATATATATACATGTTATGTATATATATGATATTATGATTCCAAGATGACACCTCAACTTGTCTCTCTAATACCTTTGATGTTAGACAACTTGATTACTGAGAATTCTTCAGAATTGTCTCAGTGTTTCCTTTCAAAGGTCAATGCCTGCTCTTTCTCTTTCAGTGCCTGACCATTTGTTTTTAGCACTCACTTTGTTTGTTAAGCAGAGTTGATTACCGTGTAATTAACAAACCAGCTCCAGCCACTTGCCTTTCTGCTTCCCTAGATTCTGTTTAACTATTCATTACTCTGCTTTTCCCAGAGAAAGTTAAGCAAACTATTTTTGGAACCACAGTATTATAGCAAACTTACATAGTTATTTCCTACTTTGTTAATGAGTTATCTTCAGAAATAACCATGTAGGGGCTGGGACTGTAGTTCGGTGGTAGAATACTTGCTTAACATGAGTAAGACCCTGTGCCACATACCAACAAAAAAGGTATCATCTGCTAAAAGTTAACAATATTATAAACATTCCAAAATAAGAAGTTTCACATTTATTAAGCATTGGCCAGTAGTATATTCCACAGCTTATATTTTCATGGTGTCTTGAAGTAATGAGAAACTCCCATTTTTGTCACTAGAAAGAGAATTCCAATTAAACTATTATACAATGGGATAGAGTGTTATGTAGAAAACTGTGCAAGGTTGTGAAGTATTACTGTGTTGCAAAAGCACACAAATTGATAGTAATTTCAGGTCTACTCAAAGAAATAATAAAAATTTGGGGTTGCACTTCATATCCATTTTTTAAATTTCATTTTTTTAGTGGCTAGCTTTTTATTTTGTTATGCAAAATACAGGTCAATGACTTCTTGGAAAAGCAAAGCAAAACTAGTTCTTCACATAGGCAGCTTGAGAAACTGTCAATAGAAAACCTGGCTTCTAAAAGCTACAGTAGGGGCTGGGGATTTAGCTCAGCAGGCATAAGCGCCTGCCTTGCAAGCAGGTAGTCGTGAGTTCGATCCCTGGTACCGATAAAAAGGAAAAACACCCCCCCAAAAAAAAAAAGCTACTGTAAATCAGCCTTATAAAACAATACTTGAAATACTTATCATGACATATATTAAAATATATCCCAAGGCATTTATAAAATAAATTTACATTACTAGGATTTAATGTGGTTGTGGTTGCATTTCCTAGGACTATTTCATCAATATAGATCCAAGAGATCTATATAACAAAAGGATAGAAAAACTGCAGAGCTCAACCAAGTAACTTTACCTCTGCTAAATACATTTTACCATTCCAAATGATTTTTATATATATGCTTATTAGTTTTATATGAAAGTCAAAAAAGACATATGAAATTTCAATAGCATGTGTTAGTTATATAGATTTCACTCTGTTGTCCCCCAACTTCGAATATATGGAGTGAAAAAAGATGACATAAAGTGAACAAGACTACCATGCAAGATCGTTTACAAAGAACCACAGCTGTGAACCCAGAAGAAAAAAAAAGCAAGTATTCAAACAAATCCATATATATATAATTTTTTTTTTTTGGCCAAAAGAGAGAACAATTCAAATGTCTGTCAACAGACGAATAGATCTGGACTTAGTGCATTTTGTTTATCACCGCCCCATGGAATACTGTTTAGTCCTAAAGAGGAATAAAATATGAAAAAATTAGGCTAAGTGAAAGAAACCAGATGAAAGATCACATATTATATGATTCTGTTTGTATATAATATTCAGAATAGGGAAATCCAAACAAATAGAAACTAGATCGCTTGCTGCTAGTTGTTTGGGGATGGGAAAAGTGGATGAGGAGTTACCTGTCACTGGGCATGGAGTTTTATTTTGGTGTCATGGGGAACTAGAGAGAAGTAATATTAAATGTCGCTGAATTACTTACTTTGAAATAGTTAATATTATGTCATCAAAGTCACTCTCACTTAAAAAAAGAGCCATAGTTAATTGGTGTGAGTTACCTTAGAATTGACAGCTTTCCTCTATTGATTAACCAAAAACAAAGGACATATTTGTTGTTCTCTGAAAATTCACTCTGTCAAGCAGCAAACTATGCCAGGATTCATATGAGAGGAATGTCCTTTTCTATTAAACAGTAAAGACAAAACTGAGAAAGAGGAGAACTTATAGAATGATAAAAACAGTGAGTGAAAGCAAAGAACAAAAAGAATAGGGAAGAATAACCTGAAAGAAAGAAGAGTAAACTGAAAGAATAAAAAACTGAATTGAGAATTAAACAGTCTAATTCAAACAGAATTGTCACTATTTGCATAATTAAGCAATCAGAAAGTGATCGATGACATACAAAACAAAAAGGCTCTGAACAAAGAGAGATATGTTCTAACGTACCTACAAATTTATAAGGCTAGAAAAACCACATCTGTTCTCCAAAACAAACATACAAACATACAAACAAAAAGTCTCCCAGCCCTTATACTGGAATTTACAGACTAAATTGAGAGTTATCCAATTACTCATCTTGGGACCCACATGCTTCTTTAGGGGTCAACTGACCACGAACTATTTCTGAAGTTCCGCTTTGGAGTAGTCTTCAAAGTCAGTTTTTAAAAAAGATTAATTTCATTACTTCACATTTATATCACATTTTAATACAAAACATGAGTTCAGCTGCTTCTAAAAGAACAGTTTTTCCATTATTGTGTATTAATAAACTAAATGAAAATTAATTACTTACATATTCCTTCACGTTTTTTGTCTTCACAGTTTTGTATGAATAATATGCAGGATAAAGCATTCCAAACACCAGCCTAAAAGTAAAAAAGTAGAAGATAATTAAACAGAACAATCCTTGTAACAGCTCAACAAAATGTAATCTAATAGAAAATTAGGAAACCCATAACTTGAAATTTGTATAAATGCAAATTTCCGCATAAATCAACCAAAAAGTAAACTGAAAAAAACATTTTCTTTTCATTAAAAAGAATATTTCAGTATTTTAGAGAGCAGTTTCATGGAAATAAAAGATTTATTTTGAAAAAACTGACTTTTAAAACTTTTTTCCTCATTGCAAAAAGTATCCCATTGTTCCTTGAAGAACCCTTGGAAAATGTAGAAAACACCAAAAAACAAAACAAAACAAAACAAAACAACCTCAACCCTACTAGTCAGGGATAGCTACACATGATATTTTATTGTACAAAAGTCCATCCTTTATCCCTATGTGGCATACCTACAATATTACACATAGTATATATGGCTATGCACTCATACCATCTTTGTTGATGAAAACTTGGCTCTTCATGGCGCCAGATTTTTTTTTCATGTCACTAGATTGAGAAGCACTGGTTTTTACTTATAATGACAAAGCTGTGACATACTTGATATATTACAGTACATATTTATATAACTCTCTAAGCATTTGCAAAATGACTTTAAATGACTAATAGGATTTTTTTAGGGAGAGGTACCGGGAATTGAACTCAGTACCCTATGCTCGCCAGGCAGGAACTTATGCTGCTGAGCTATATTCCTGGCCTAACTAACAGGATTTAATTTAATGGTATTTCATATGTGCACCAAATCCCATACCCAAGATAGATATATATATGTTTTATATGTATGTGTGTTTTATACACACACACACACACACACACATACACACACATAAACAATACACACAGAAATTTCATGACATAGTACATAGGTCTTACAATTGGCAAGTTCATGTAATATTGAATTTTTGTTTTCAAATATATTAGTCTTTTTTTCAAGTATCAAGGATCAAACTCACAACCTTGCTTGCAGGCGCTTGTGCCGCTAAGTCCCCAGCTCTTCAAACACAGTGGTCTTAATGTATGCATTGCATTATACTTAATCCCCATAATTCTATATTTATGTATAAGCTTTTGGTTAGTAATCAAGTTCTTTCTATTTCACATAATACTGTGAAAAACACTAGCATTCACTTCATGATTGTGATACTGCTGCCTCAAAGGTTACACACATTTTCATCTACTTTTTATTTTTTGAGTAATTCCATCTTTTTTTTTTTTTTTTTTTTTTTTTGTCTTTTTCATTTTTATCGGTACCGGGGATCGAACTCACGACTGCCTGCTTTCAAGGCAGGTGCTTACGCCGCTGAGCTAAATCCCCAGCCCCACATTTTCATCTACTAACAAAGTAACTGAAAGTTGTTCCATTTTTCATTTTTTATATTTGCAAATCATAGGTGAAATTTTAAAAACTGCCAATGGGGGCTGGGGATTTAGCTCAGCGGCATAAGCGCCTGCCTTGCAAGCAGGCAGTCGTGAGTTCGATCCGCGGTACCGATAAAAAGGAAAAAGACAAAAAAAACCCCCAAAAATAAAAAACCTGCCAATGGAAAAAAACAGTAGCCTTGTAGTTTTACTGCACATTTCTGAATACTGGGAAATGTGAATGTTTTTCAAGCATTTTGTGTCACAGAGTATAGGATATATTTTTGTTTGTTGTTTCAAATGACCTTTTTATTTTAGAGCAAATTTACAGAAAAGTTGGATAGTAAAGGTAATTCCCACATATTTCATACCTAGTAATTAGATTGGTATAGAACATTCATCATAGTGATGTATTGTGCTGAAATATACACCGTACTTTATTCAGTTTCCTTAGTTTTTACCTAGTATTTCCACCCCTCCCTCCCCTGCCTTTTTCTTCTATTCTTTCCTTGGTTCCAAGATCTTATCCAATATAGGGTATCACTTTTAGATGTATTCTAAGCTCTCTTGGTTGTATCTTTCAGATTTTCCTCGTTTCTGATCTTGGTAATTTTGAAGAGCACTTGTCAATTACACCGTAGAATATTTCTGTTTGTTTGATGTTCTCCATTAGATGGAGGAATGGGTTTTTAAGGAGGACTAGAGAGGTTAATTACCATTCTTATCAAGTTGTATCAAGAAACTCATCACTAGTGACATTAACCTTGATCACTATGCTGAGGTACTGTTTTGTGTTCTTAATTCACTTCCCATCCCATACTTCATTCTTTGGAAGGAAGCCACTATACATACCTTACATGCTTGAGTAGGGAATGTAGCTGTACTTCACTGAGAGTGGAATGTCTACCTAAAGTGTTTGCAATGCTTCTATACAAGATACTTATCTATTCTTCCTTATTAATTCATTGACTTATTTACATCAGTATGGACTCATGGATATTTATTTTGTACTGTGGTTATAATCCAAAACCACTTTTGTGGTTATAATCCAAAACCACTTTATTTTGTTGTTCAAAGATGTGGTCATTGACAGATCCCCCCCCCCCCCGCCAGTTCCTAGGGTCAAACTCACGACCTTGTGCTTGCCAAGCAGGCGCTTATGCCACTGAGCTAAATTCCCGGCCCTGGTAGATCTTTCTGATAGCTCCCATGTCCCTTTGACATCTCTATTACAGTGAAGTTTGGTGTGTGTGTGTTGAGTACTTTCTGGCACTGTATGATGCTGTAGGTCCCATTTTATATTATTTCCTGCCCCATTCCTACAATCAGTCACTTCCTATTTTATTAAGGATTCTATTTGAGGGGGCTGGGGATTTAGCACAGTGGCATAAGTACCTTCCTTGCAAGCAGGCGGTCGTGAGTTCGATCCCCGGTATCGATAAAAATGAAAAAGACAAAAATAAATAAATAAATAAATAAATAAATAAATAAATAAGGATTCTATTTGAAACCAAGATTTGGGGTTAAGTATGCTCAGTGCCACTGTTTATTTGTTTATTTCTAGATCCTTCTTTGTCTACATGAACCAGTATTTTTGTAGGTTATTATTATCTTTTCATTGTGTTTATGAATTTGCCAAAATATACACTACTACCTTAGTTTGCTAGAGTTACTATAACAAAATGGGCTAATGGGCTAGGTGTCTTAAATAACAGAAATTTATTTTGTCAGTTCTGGAGCTTGAAAGCCCAAACTCAAAATGCCAGAAGGTTTCATTTCTTCTGAGGTCTTCTAGTTATGCCCTCATTAGTCAATCCTAGGCTGCATGTGTATCCTCTACTCTCCTGTTCTTATAAGGCTGCCAATCATACTAGATTAAGTCCCATCCCAAAAACATCATTTAGTTTAACCACATCTGTAAAGACAGTATCTCCAAAACAGACACATTCTGAGGTATAGGATGTTAGAATTTCAACATTTGAATTTGTTTTTTAACACAGAGAATTGAACTCAGAACCTCATACTTGCTAGGCAGGTGCTGTGCTGCTGTGTTCCTGGCCCTTGAATTTTAATATATGTCTGCAAACTTTTATATTGAATAAGTGATTGCACTTACATGTCTCTCTTACATTGAGTAAATACTTGCATCTTTTTCTATTTTTATTTCATTATTAGTTTTTCATGGGGCAGGGAAGAGGGCAGTAATTCCTGGAGCCTTCCTCATTCTTTATTCTACAGCTTTTATGACACCGGGTGAGAAGAGGAACCTAAGTACTCTCCTGGTTAGGATTTTATGGTTACCAAGTAGAACCCTCATCATTAACTACTTCTGCTTTATTTAACAATGCTGCCCTGTGAATACCACTTCAGTACCAACTCATAGACTCCTGTCACAGGAACTTTAGCTGTGCCACAGAGCCTAAAATTTTTCAATTTAACTTCATTCCCTACCTGTCCCACCTAATGGCAAAGAAACTTTTCAGCTTTGAACCTTCTATGATATAAATAAGATAATTTCCAGGTCTGTTGTAAGTTCACACTCACTGTTAATACTAGGTATAATTTGGTAAAAGAGCCATTTTAGTTAATTTTTACATATTGAAGTAATAATTTTAATCTATGTTGTATTTCTCTTTAGAACTTGGATATAATAAAGGTATCATCTTCCATTTAATCAGATTTAGTGCCATCAGATTTAGGTTCAACATGAGACTGATTCTTCATTTCTATCACTGGATAGATCTTTATTTTTTTCTTCTCCAGGTACAGCATTCATTCATTCTATAATTGAGGCTTGCTGGTACTTCTTTTGATTATAGAGTACATACATTCATCTTCCTATTTTACTTTCAATCTTTTTTTGTTGTTGTTTGTTTGTTTGTTGTCTTTTTCATTTTTATCGGTACTGGGGATCGAACTCACAACCGCCTGCTTGCAAGGCAGGTGCTTATGTCGCTGAGCTAAATCCCCAGGTCCTTTTACTTTCAATCTTATAGTCAATAATACTTATGCAGTCTCATCTGACATACTGGATTGTTTCCAACATGTTCCTTTGTGTCTCCTGTGGGGTCAGCCTTTTTGGTATACCTACAGTACTACCTTACCTAAAATTTCAGTAGTTCACTCCTGTGTCAGCGAGTCCGTGTAGGAGCTCATCAGAACATAATTTGAAAGTTAGGCTTCCATAAACTGTTTCAACATGGTTTGCATATTAAGCCTCTTGTACTTCTACTTTAATTCTGAAGTGTATGCTTTTTTTTTTCTTAAGTGTATGCTTTGTGCCTGGAATATATCTGTCTTAGTTATTTTTTTGTTGCTAGGACAAAATACTTGATACTTACAAGTTAAAAGCGTAAAGATTTATTTTATTTTATTTATCTATTTTTTATATCTGGGAGTCAAACTCAGACCTCACGCTTGCCAGGTGGGCGCTATGGCCATTTGGCTACATTCCTGGCTGCAGCTTTATTTTAGCTCAGTTTGTGTAAATTTTAGTCCACAGTTGTCTGGCTCCAAGAAAGGATGGCACAGCAGAGGAGAAATAGTCTACGGCAGGGCAGGCAAGAAAGGCAGGAGCCTGTCTTCCTTCCGTACCTTTTATATTGCATCCA